TACTTTTAGGACTTTCCTGAATTTTAAAACAAACAAACGTATAAAACAATAATATAAATAATCTGTGTTTATATAATAGAATTGAAGTAGATGATCTTGAAAGGTACCCACTTTAAAAGTATAGAATGAAATGCATTCATCATAGTATGGCAGAATATCTATCAAAAGGATACAATCATGGTGCTCCTATTCACAGGGTTTCTTATATTTTATTGTTTGTTTCGGGCGCGCTGCCGCGGGAGATTTGTATTCAGATAATTTTTATCCTTGTTTTAAACGCGATAAATTACGGAACGTTACGTTTTAACAGATATATTGATAGATAAAGTTAGCGGCAATTTGTACAACTAGTGCCTGACGACAGCTGAATTTGTTTTTTAGCTTGCTTAATAAAATAGCAACATGTTTCGACTACATTATGGCGTATTTGTTTTATTACATTGATTTTAAAGTTGTAAAAAATCTTTAAAAGATCCTTCTCTGTTTTCAGACGAAATTTATTTATGACTTTTATTTTGCATATTTTTGTAACATTAAATCAAGTGTAAAAAGGAAGGAATCTAGAACATATAATACTTTTTAACTTACAACATCTAAGTTACAATAAGTATAAACCAAGATATAAACTAGCTATTTACCCCTTAAGTAATAAGGTTATGAGGAACTTAGTTTTTTAATTAAGTTAATATTGATGTAGTCCGTTCCCGCCTTCCCTTCCGCTTGCTAAATTAATCCCAGTTAATGTAATAATTCATCTCAGCTACCGCTCTGTTAGTTTTGATGTCATTATTTATTTTATAACTGACCCCGCGAAGGTCGTAGGCGTGGCCAGAATTAATAAAGTTAAAAAATCATTTGCTACGTAGCTTTTTCAAGCTTCGCCGTTGTTAATTAAATATTTTCGATGAGGTTGAAATTAACGTTGATTTAGGGGATGTTACTACGGAAGTTTTGAAAGAAATGAATCTCCATGAACTTGGGAGGACGAAAATTAAGATATACGAAGATTACATTTACCTAAAGGTACAAATTCCTTTTTATACACCTTTTTAAAAATCTAGAACTTTATTGGGAATAAAGAATTACCTATTATATTACGCTATTATAAGAAACGAATATCTTGGTTAGTTGGTTTAACAAATCTACACAAGAGACTGCTGAAAGTTAGACTTACTCGTAGCTCTAAGTCTACAAATTGAAGATAATATCCCACTAAAGCTGTTTCTATAGCGTCACCCTAACACACGAAAACGTACGCATTCTTTGCAATTCGCGATCTAATTTGAAGCGTTACTTGCAAGCAAGGGAGACAGCGTAATTGCGCCGCATCCTGCCCGCCCGCCTGTCCGTCCGTACGTCTGTATATATGTCTGTACGTCTGTAAGTTCGTGAACGTTACGAGAGATTAACTTTAATTTCGCCAATCGACCTTCGGTTAGTAATTGTGTGATAAATTGCCGATCTCTCGCTTGTCTTTGTAATTTCTTTTTAATCGCAAATTACTAATTCACAGAGTAAAATGTTTAAAATCTTTCAAATTCTTCATTCAGTCTTCATAAGAAAAGCTTAGATTTTTTCGGTAAAAACTTTGAGAGACAAAAAGTGAAATTATTACCGAACTGAAAGCTAATTTAAATTATAGACATTTCAGAGAGCAAATCGATTATTTATTTTTTTGAATAAGAATATTTAAAATCCCGATTAAAATATAAGTATTTCAAGGTTTATATGTAGCCAGTTGTAGTTTGTTCCAACTTTCCACGAGACTGTACATGAATGGTGTACACTTGAGTTCAAAATTAATGGTAACCGGATTCAAGTGACGCTTTCCCACGGCCTTGTGGAGACGGGTTCCTGTATCATATCCATTACCATTCTATGTACGTACAATTAGACGGGCGTGCGTTATGAGGGGCACGCTATTGGTTACAGCTGGGCCAATCCGAGCGCACAGCATAGACCCAAAGCGCATGATCTTGTATTGTCAACCCGCTATAGGTATTATGGTAATGTATTTTAGGGATCAGTATTGTATTTTGAGTTTTCTTTTCTAGTAGGGATAGAACTGTCTTATGCTAAGGTTACGTTACATTACAGGTAAAATTACGCTTGCAAATTAGGAATGATATTTTTCTGCTGACATTTTCATTACATTGTTATGTTTCTTATCGTTACGAAAACAATGTAATAAGCATGCTTATGCCAGATTTCGTAATTTGTTAAACCTTTGCGTATGTTATCGAAATAATACTGAACTATCCATGTTGTAGAATTTCACGTCATTTATGCAACTTGATAAAATTTTCGATGGAAATATAGAATAGTTAATAGTACAATGTCTTCTGTAATTAGGTGAAGTTCGTAATAGTATCCCTCAATTCCTTATTCAAATTATATTTTTTTTTTACAAATTGTAAGTTCATAGTCATGCTCTATAGCCAGAAATCTATCGCTATCATTTACAATTCAATTTGCAATCCCCTAATAACTACTTATCAACTCTTACAACTGGCCGCTTTCGCGAAGAGGAGCGAATGAGTTGTCATATTTGACAGCTGTCAGATTTGACAGGTCGAAAGTAAGACGTTACCGGTGTTGAGAGCTGTCAAGTTTGGTACGGAACCCTTGATTACGTTCACACGTTTCTCGAATTAATTATATGGCGGTTAACGGACGGACTATTAATAAAATTGTATGTATTCGAAATAAAGTTTTTTTTATCTTAAATTAATGTTATTTTTTGCTATTGATATTTGGAGTTTCTATGTTAAAATATATAAATTTTTGTTAAGATTTGACGGCCTATTTCACCTAATAATTAAAGAATAATTTATTAATTGTAATTTTTTTGGTAAATTAGGAAGAGATAACGTTTTCGACTTTCTATATTTTTAAAGAACCAGAAACGTAATTTTTGTTTTAATTCCACCTATTGTTTTAAAAATAGCGTTGTTTTTTTAAACGAGAATGATTAATTTCTAGTAATCATTTGACTAATTGTTTGCTGAGACAAAAACCCCCGGTTTAAGTATATTGTTTTATATGTTTTAAGGTAATGAGAGGGATGACGATATTTTATACAGAGAATTTTGTCTCAGAAACCAACGATAAGCTGTAATGTTCGATCAAAGTGTTCAAAGTGATCAAACCATTGTTTATGGATTAGTAAATCCATTAGCGAAAAGAATTAAGCCTAGTTTTTTTACAATATGTCAGTACAGTAGGATAGTAGCGCTGGCCTGGCATGGCATGGCACGGCTGGATGGCATGTATAGGCCCACTGGAGATAGTTTGTGATTATATTATGCCAGCGCGGATTTCGTGCGCTACTGTGCTAGCATAATATAAACTAAGCATTACTATATATACTATATTAAAGATCTTATAAATTAAAAAGTTCAATAAATTCTATTGGACAAAAAGGACTTATAGTTAGTAACATTACATTTAAAAAGAGTTTTTATAACCTACTTTACCTCGAGAAATGTAAGGGATATTGCTGTCAATGTAAAACGGATACTAAATGTTAGGGATATTTTATCGCGAAGTTCGTTACACTAAAAAGCATACAAAATGTTTTAAATACCTATAAGACTACGATTGGAACGTTACGATTGAAAAGAAGGTGCTTACACCTGCAAAATGTATTACTTTTAAATATATAGTGTAAGAGCCTTATCACTTGTGTGATAAAGTCTAAAATTGCTCGATAAGTTGATAACTTAGTGTTTTATGCGCAGACATCTGCTCTACTTTTGCATACATTTGACTGATTGTTCTGTCACTCCGACGGATTGTGTTCGACGTATTGCTCCTGACCGATGTTCCGTCATCCCGGTGGCTTAGTGGTGGGCGTACCTCTTGGTGGTCTCGTGTTTGATGTACTGACAAACACTACTAGGTCAGCATACTTAAGCATAGCATTTGTGGCAACCTGGGGTCAGTTGCGGCGTTAGTGCAGGGCGCGTTTTGGCGCCGGACAAAAAGGGGCGCCTGCACAGACCTGCGAATTACAGAGTCTCACGTATTTTTTTTTAATTCGTCTGATGATGATTTGAACTTAGGTGAAGCTTGAATTATTTACGCCAATCCCAATCAAGTTAAATAAAATGCAGTGGAAATATTTTTTTCATTACTAGTGTAGTAACTGTCGTACTTTTTAAGAAACGAAAGGGAAGGTACAGAACCTAACTAATGAATATTGGATGTTACCAGGTTGGAGAGCGTCTATTGCGTTAGTTTCAGAATACTTCGACTTATTTAAAAAAAAGCCAATGGTTGGCAACAACGACTTAAATGTTATTTTTCCGGTGCTATGATCGAAAACGATATGAAATGGTATCTTATTTTATTTATTTTAAAGTTTTTCTATAAGTGAACTCAAGATTAACGACACCTATGGATATCTGCATTATTTTATTTTAGAAATTTGACTCGCAGTTTACAGCAACTATTATTTAACACGACTTTGCTTCAACATTATGAATAGTGTCGCATGAATCGTTATAATTTCCAGTATTAACTAATAATTACTTCTTTTCAGATAAGAAAATTACCTTCTATACTGTTTGTATCCTAATAGGATAATTGGGATAGGGAAAGGAAATGAGAAAGGAATAAAACTTGTTTTTATGTTTAAAATGAACACAGATTTTTTTCAAACAGATTTCATATATTTACAATCACAATCATACATAAATGCATAACAGTCTAAAACTAAATAATTTACACTATTAGTTGTGATTTGAATAATACTGGTTTAAACTAAACCTACATACTGACAATCTAATAATAATACTGTTATTGGCAAGATGTTTATTCATTAAAATCACTTTAAAATAGCTTAACTATCAAAAAACAGTGCACAAAATTTAAAACTAAATCGATTTTTTTAATCTTTGCAACTAATTTTAAGGTATTCTATATTGTTATTGTGGAATTAATTTACAATAAAATATCTAAATAAATAATATAAAATAATCGGTAGGACGGATTACATTAATTAAAACTAAATCTAATTTAAAAAGCGTATTATACCCAAATATTTTATATAATCGATTATACCTGAAGATATTCGATAAACTAATCGATTCTAAAATATCCTACTTTATCCTTTGATTTTTCTAACAATATTTTCTTCACAACATCACTACACTAATTGGTAACGAGTGCAATCAGATTAAAACAATAAATATCCCTGTACTACCTATTTCTAGATAAAATTTGGCAAGTTTTAGCATTACGTAACACTTAGCGTTTATCGCCTTGATGTTAACAAAGCCTGCATCTAATATCTCTAATGATCTTCATACCTTTACTGCAATAACTCGTAAAGTGCTGCGATATAAGTCTGCGCCATTTGCAAGGTTTCGTACTTGGATAGTTGACGGTCAGCCCCCAAAGACGGTAGGTGACCGCGAAGTCTATCGAAAGCTTTGTTCAAGTTCTGCATCCTTCTTCGTTCTCTAGCATTTGCTGCTAGACGACGCCTACGGAGAACGGCAGCGTTAGTCGCTCGTCCTCTCCTCTTTCCAGATCCTTCTAGAACTTCCCCATCTTCCACACTGTCTTCTAGAGCAATATCGTTGGGCATCCCTCGATAGGCGATGTGTGTTGGTGACTCGTTGCTGTCCAAGGATGGGGTCGGCTCCAGGCTCGAGCGCCCGGAGTCAGGAGACCTCGGCCAGGGCAGGTAGCACTCCTCGGTATACTCCAGCATGACGTCATTAGGGAAGATGTCTTTTTCGTTGTAGTAACGAAGTCCGTAAGTCTCGGCTGCCATTGCGATCGCGAACTTTGCAAACTTGGTGGTTGAACAATACGTGTGTCCGGCTCGGTGTCCCGTAAGGGTCTAACCTGGGACCTACCTGTTATCGCTTATATATTTTTCTGGTTTGCTAGAGAGGGTGGGACGTGGCGGGAGGCGTGCGAGCGAGAGGGATGGACGAAGGCTTCGCGAGGGTAATTTAAGGCCAATCATCATTAATTATTTTCTCCCTCGGGCGGTGCGTGTGCCGGCGCGGGCTATTGTTTGATACGTTTGACTTTACTCCGCCACTACAACTGACAAACTCTTTGTAGATCCGCGCCTTGACGATATTAATTGATTTTGATACATTTGTTAAAACAAAATCATACAATTTTACTTAAAGTATATATTCAAACCAGACATGTAGGAATAAATCAAATAGATGAAAATTAATACGAATCATAGTTATAATACATTTACAATATTTTTTTTTGCTAATTTATGCAATTAATAATTTCCTACGTGATACGTTCTACCTAACTCCAATTGACTCTCAGTGAAGTTGAAAGGATATCAGCGCGCAGCGTCTCTCGATGAATCTCAAGGGTCATACAAGATTGATTTATTATTATAACAAATTCCATATTTTATTATTTCAATACAAACGTAAAACTAAGATAAAATAAACAAGAAAAGTTTTGATAAAAAGCCAAAACTTTCTTATTCACGTAAATGATAACAAAAATGCGTTCATTAATAAATTAAGAAAATTAAAAAAGTTTCGAGTTAATTTTAGCACGATAAACCAGTTCCCATCCGAGCCGGGCCGGGAATCGAACCCAGCGGTATAGTTCGCAGCCTAGCGGTGGCCGAAACTGAACACGCAGCCGTCTTGGTGGCCCTAAACTACACGGAACTAATAACGTTTGGATGCGGTAATTATAAAGAACTATTTTTTTACACAAAAAAAAATGTCTTTCGAAATATTGTACGGGATATTTTTTAATCTAGATAATGGACTTAAGCTCGTAAGTTACAAATTTAAATACGAGTAATATTAATTATTCTTCACTTATTCTGTTAATCTAAAAACATGCAACGCTAATTTAATGTTTCTTTCTATAAATTCATGGAATTTTAGTAAAATCCTATTAGAAAAAGCACAATAAATAAGATAACACAATTCCAGTAAAAAGAAGATAATAACAAATACCGCACTTTACTAATCCTCTTTTAACGACAATTCCAGAAATTCCTAGAACTTTACCAAACAATTATAACTAACTTGACCTTAAAGTTGTTTTATGATCTCTTTGTTTATTAAACAAAAGGATTATAAAAATGCGTAAATGTAGGACATTTAAAGCAATTCTTAGTAAAGTTTTTTTTTTCTTTTTTTAATATGTTTACAATGTTTTTTTTAATCCTTTTGATTATAAAATTATTTTTAAAGTCAGTCTTGGAATTTACTTTTTCTTTTTATTTTCTTAAAATAATGCTAAATATTTTAATGCCGCATCCAGAGACTCGTTGGTTACCGTTAGACATCGCTTGCCTCAGGTGGTCCGATCGTTTTTCAGTGCAAAGTCTTGGTTGAAGATTTCGTCACTTGAATGAACTTGTCCTGGGTCACGGGGACTCTAGCCATTCACAAGAGCTAGTGGCACAGTTATCTGATTACTTTATTTGGACCTAAGTTCAAATTCCAGAAACGAAAAAAAGAATCATTTAATGAATACACACAGAGTGCATTTAATATGGATTATTGTTTTTTTTCTCTACGCAACATACAAAATAACAAATTACAAGTTTAGTATTTTAATTATTTAGTTTGCTAGTTGGAATGTGGATCGTTACTATATGTATATTAAATACAAATGAACAAACTGATTTTGAAATTTATATTCTAGAAGATATTTCAGTCTGATTTAGTTTTAAGGTCCTAATCCTAAGTCTATACAAAAATTAATGAATAAAGTATACAATATTTCTTAGAGTAACTTTGGAGCCAGATGGTTCCCGGCACTGATTTTTCGTGCTCTTCGAAGTAAAGATTTTCTCACGAGACCTAATTGTGTTAAAGTCCAATGTGCGCTGATTATGTTCTTCCCATGACACATTAGCGACCCAATGAGGTCAATGAAAGGGGGTCAAAGAAATTGCTTGGTAATTTTTTTTTCAACTTGGTTGCCAAGGTTCACATGGCTGTGATTTTATTCATAACTAGCTATCTCCCACTACTCCGTCCGCGTGGAATTTGAAATAAAACATAAATAAGTAGCCTATGTCTTTGTCCCGACTATGATCTACATGTACATCCATCAAAACGACCACCTATCCATACATTTCAACTTTAGCATTTACAATATTAGTAAGATATAAATTAATAAAAATGAATTCAAAAGAACTTAAAATGATCGAATGCAGTGAATAGAATACAATGACGTGTTAAAAATTATTTTTACATTTTTAATATTTAAAGTACCATCCAAACTTTTATAATAGATACAACGATTAACTAACTAAACTATCAAACTAGATTTCAATAGAGATATGTTCAAGCCATCGAGCGGTTGTCAAAATATTGTACCGCTGTTGCTGAGGGTCAGGATTCTCCGTTGGTTGGTTAACGCACCATTAGGCCGAGGATCGGGTTACGCAGAAAGGACGCTGTCTATACGAATGTATAGACAGCGTCCTTTCGTGGGAGAAGTTGTACCATAACTGTAGTCTTAAATTAGACAAGATCAGAATCTAATATTTATTACGCGCAGAAAACGACCTTGACCCAAAGTCGACTTCTTAAGTCCGCGTGAAGGAAGCCTACTTCTAGTCTTCCAGTTATGAATATTGGCTCTGCAACCCTTGGATAGTACAGTTTCCCAATAGTAAAAGATTTTTAAATCCGTTCAGTAGTTATATTAGAGGCTATTCAATGCAATACAAAAAAAGTCAAATCTTTCCTCTTTACAATTTTAGGAAGTAGAGATAAACTTCAGAGGCAAGATTAGAACACAAATGTTATGGGAATAGTAAAATATTTTATTGTGTTTTAACTAAGAAGCTTTTTTAGAAGCTTACTTGGTTAGCTAGAAAGCCGAATATGACTGGATTTTAGACCTATCTACTTTTAGACATTATTAGTTAGAATCCTTTGGCGCGGCTGCGCTTTCGTTACCAAGTCCAGTGTCAGAATGATAAGTGATTGGACATAAACGTCGACATTTTGGTAAGGCTAGTATTGCGCTAGTCCACCGGCACATTGTTGGATTTTCTTCTTAACACTACCTTAATGTTAAATAATTACACAACTATTACCATTGTCGTGCAACATTTATATCTATCCAATTTGATAGTATGTAGTGTAAATATTGTAAACCGAACGTGAAACTAACATTGTCAATAGGAAAGGAATAAGAAACAATAGCACTGTCTGTATACGTTGTGATCTACCCGAACTGTAACGGAACACCGAAACAAGTTAACTGTGAAAAATATAAAAAAATACTGGTAACACTACACGAGCTAGGGTTGATACCGTTACTCCGTTACCAGGTCCTTTCCGGGGTCCACTTCCGATTGTCAGTATTGTTTTGTAATTGCCACATCTGACAGAGATATATTGAATTAGATTGAATATCATATAGCGTATCCTCTATAAGATTAACTTCTGTCCCATGCAGGCAGAAATTCCAGATTTTCATTCGGCGTAAATTTAGACCGATGATTCGAATCCCGCCATTCGACTATTGTCGTAATCCATGCACAAGAATAGTAAATATTGGTAAATTAAAAAAAACTGCTAATATTTTAAATCAAAAACATAAAACCCTGTCTTTGTAAGTATATTCTGTACCAGCAATGATTTGGTTTTAATATTGTAACACCGCGAAGCCAGTAACTGTAAATTTCAGCTCTCAAACTTTTTCTTTTCGCTTTTTGAAGTCTTAGTGGCCTACTTTATCACTCATTCTAGTTCATAGACACCTTTTTAACCTATTTATGTAAATAAACACATGCGTAAATGTGACTTTTTTTAAATATTATTCTGTCAGATTGATTGATAAATTAAATGAAATGAATATAATTCTAATCAGTTAATGTTATATATTTTGTAAATCTTCATAAAACACTTCCTCCAGTTCAGGAGCACATCTGGGTGGTCCCTGTCTGCATGTCGAACAAATTAACATAATATCTTAACCATGTTTAATGTAATAAATAAGATCGGAGATGTTTTCGGTATCCCGTGAATTTTGATAGGGTCATTTGGACCCTTGTTTTTAACCTCTAAGACAATAGCCCCGCGATTGTTCAATTTCTGTTGATTTTAACAAATTCATTGGTTATTTTTTTCTTTTATTGTGAAGATTAATTATGCTAATTTATCTTCAAAGGTAATAAATTATGATGTAACGTGCATATGTATGTATGTTAAACGATTCTATATATGCAGAAAATATTTTGTATCAAACTCTTTTACGCTATAGTTTTATATTAGTTGGGTTATTTATTGAAAATGCTCGGAGACTTCCATAACATAGAGGTTGAAATTAAGATACTTACCGTGGGTTTCTGAGACCAAAACCTGCGTTGAAAACATATCTGTTTTGTTAACGATGACAGTAATGACGATATGTTTTATACAGAGATTTTAGTTTCGAAAACCGAAGATTAAAATTTTGTTTGTGTGCCTTAAGGTGATTAATCAGTAATTTTGGTAATTAATGTCTGTGCACTTTGATAAATGTTAGTTATGTTAAATTCTACATTTTAGACTTAGGTAAAATTTTGTCAGATATCTTAAAAAAATATTTTTAGCAGCATATAATTTCCTTCTATGTTCTATTCAATCAGAGATAGACAGTTATCAAATAGCGGACGTTTAGCAAAATTACAGGGCGGCGCTAGGGGTGTCAGAATTGACACCACACTACCACTAATGGACCTGCTTCTTGGGAGGTTTATTGTTATTTTTTTATGAAAATGACGGTAAAGCTCCCGGATATAGAACTTTTTAATAATACATTTTATAAAATATTAGTTTTAAGGATAAATATTTTTATAACATTAGTACTAAAAGACCG